GTCTGGCTGGGCACAAATCACCAAGCTGCCACAAAGCACTTGTATGTTCAAACAGGAAACTTTATTGCCTGAACTCCAACAGCACTCCACGCACACTCCCCTGGAACTCTCCACCCACTCGGCTCCTCTCCGGCACACAACACCAACGGACTTCCCCAACCAGAGGGAACTCCCCGGAGAACTCCAAAGTAGGGCCCCCCCCCAGGCGGACAGCAGGGGTCTATATACAATTGAATCAATCCAGCATCATCTTAATGGCTCGCCTCTCAACCATTACTTCTGGCAAAATGCCAGGGGCCATTCCAAGGGCTCTCAACTTGTGTACCCAGTTTTACCACTGTAGACCTGTTTCAAAATAAGATCCTGTTTCAAAATAAAAACTAAACAGGGCTGGGGATGTGGCTCAGTGGTTGAGTGCCCCTGGGTTCAATGCCCAGTAAAAAATGCTTCATCAGGTTTCTAGTTATTTATCCACCTAACACAACACCACTGTGTACAATCAAAAACACACCAATCTTCCCCAGAATTTGGCTTTCTACCCATTTGTTGTTGTTGTTTTAATTAGTTACATATGACAATAGAATGCATTTTGACATATCTTACATAAATGGAGTATAACTCCTCATTCTTCTGGTTGTACGTGGTGTGGACTTATACCAGTCATGTAATCATATATGCATATAGAGTAATAATGTCCAATTCATTCTAACATTCTTTCCCACATAACCCCCTTCTCCCTTCACTCCCTTCTGTCTAATCCAAAGTACTTCTATTCTTCCCTAGCCCCCTCCTCCTCATTGCAAATTAGCATCCACATATCAGAGAAAACATTCAGCCTTTGGTTCTTTGGGATTGGCTTATTTCACTTACCATGATATTTCCAGCTCCATTCATTTACTGGCAAATGCCATAATTTCATTCTTCTTTAAGGCTGAGTAATATTCCATTGTGTGTGTGTGTGTGTGTATCACATTTTCTTTATCCATTCATCTATTGAAGGACACCTAGGTTGATACCACAACTTAGCTATTGTGAATTGAGCTGCTTTAAATATTGATGTGACTGTGTCCCTGAAGTATGCGGATTTTAAGTCCTTTGAGTATAAACCAAGACGTAGGATAGCTGGGTCAAATGATGGTTCCATTCCAAGTTTTCTGAGGAGTCTCCATGCTGCTTTCCATAGTGGTTGCACCAATTTATAGTCCCACCAGCAATGTATGAGTGTACCTTTTTCCCCACATCCTCACCAACATTTATTGTTGCTTATAGTCTTGATAATTAGCATTCTAACTGGAGTGAGATGAAATCTTCGAGTAGTTTAGATTTGCATTTCTCTTGCATTGATATTGTATTTCTTCTTTTGTGAAGTGTCTGTTCAGTTCCTTAGCCCATTTATTGATTGGATTAATTGGGGTTTTTTTTGGGGGGGGTTAAGTTTTTTGAGTTTTTTATATATCCTGGAGATTAATGCTCTATCTGAGGTGCATGTGGTAAAGATTTTCTCCCATTCTGTAGGCTCTCTATTCACATTAAAATGTTTCCTTTGCTGAGAAGAAGATTTTTAGTTTGAATCCATCCCATTTATTGATTCTTGATTTTACTGCTTGCAATTTAGGAGTCTTGTTAAGGAAGTCAGTTTCTAAGCTGACATGGTGAAGATTTGGGCCTACTTTTTTCTCTATTAGGCACAGGGTCTCTGTTCTAGGGCTGAGTTTTGTGCATGGTGAGAGACAGGAGTTTAATTTCATTTTGTTGCATATGGAATTCCAGTTTTCCCGGCACCATTTATTGAAGAGGCTATCTTTTCTCTCTCATCATCCCATTCACAAGTCTGCCAGCACTTACAAAACAGTCCAGAATAATTCACACAGTCACCTGAGGCTGATCTCACTAAATGACTTAGATTCTATAAATAAGAAAAATACTGTGGCAGCCAGGAGCAGCTCTGATTCTAGTCTATCACAATAAGTTGTTATCCCTCAGGAGATTATACCTTTCACCTTGAAGGTGACACAGTGGGTCCAAGTCTGTTCCACATGTTCCTCAATTGGGGATGCCAGGCCATGTTCTTTTTATGGTCCTGGCAGAAGCCAAGAGAACAAGTGCTACCACATCTACATGTTTGAAACGTTTGCTCATGCCATATCTGCTGACATTCCACTGGCCATAGCAAGTCACATGGCCAAAAAATCTCAGTGGGAGGAAAAGTGTATTCTGCCCACTGGAGAGTGAATGTTTGCTGGATCATAATCTAAACTATTAGGGCTTCCACTGGGCTCAGAATTCTGGAAGATCACAGTAGTGAAAGCAGATGTTGTTTTCAGTTGTAAGAAACAAGTTGTAAGGAAAGTAACTGAGACATGGAGACCTTAAGTGATGTTCCCTAACTCACATCAAAATCACTAATAAAGATAGACTAAAACTTGGTTTCTTAAGTCCCCCTCCAGGTCACTATTCCATGGCACAAGCAGGATAACTAAGCAACCCTTAACACATTTGACAGTTTTATTATGTATTCCATGACCCAGACCTTTCTTTAATTAGAGAGTCCTGCCCTCTGCCTTCTTTTTTTTTTTTTTTTTTACAATCAAGATAGTGTTGTTTTGTTTTATTTTTTAATTTGATTGTGGGCATAGTGACTGGGTAATGTTAAGACACCTGGGTTTTGATCCTAGCTCCATCTACCGTGACAGTAGACAAGTTCTTACCTTACATGAGCCTTAGGCGATTTCATTCATAAAATGTGATAAGCCCCAGGACTTTGTGAAGAGTAAAAGGAGATGTTTGTGAAATGCTTAGAGCATAAAGAGTGTACAACTAAATAGTTCCAAAAAAAATTTTCCCTCTACTTCAAAGCTAGTCATGAGCTCTCCCTTCATTGAGCCCCTAAGTTACTTATTCAATTCAGTTAAGCTCTGAGGATATTTTAGGAACTATAAGTTCAAATTCCGAAATAGTTCAGGCAGATATCATGAAAATGTTAAGGAACCTATGGAGTCTTTCACATTGTTATCTTATGCTGCATTTTTTCTTACAGATCCATACATTTGCATATTAAAGCAAGTGGAAATATTCTCTGCACAAAGAAACCTATTTTCTCCAGGTGTTTTAAAAATATTTAATGATTGGCCTTCAGCCTGGGCTCTTCATTTGGATGCTTTATGGCTGAGGTATTGGAGCAGGGTCCTGCTAGACTGAGGAGAGTGAGGGGAAAATAGACCAAAGTGCCCAGGGCCATGGGGCAGCACATAGGGACTCCAGCAAAGGCTATTTATGAACCAATATGGGAATATTTTTTACTCTTATGTGTCAACTAAACATGAGCTTTGGTTTCTCTCATTGTTTTTTAAACATATAGTCATGTTGGCTATCCTTAGTATTCTATTTTTGTAGAACATGAGTACAAAGAAATCATAGTCTTGTATATGCTCAGGCCCCCATCTGAAGCAGGCAGCCCTCATTCAGCTCCAGCCAAGTGTTGTCTTATGCCAGTTGGAACTTCCAGTTTTTAAGAGAAGCCAGAAATGCAAATTTTTGTATTAAATCTTTAATGTTGGTTCAGTGGTTTCTAAATCTCTGCACAGGGCAAACCCTATGGCCTCTGATCTATTGGATGTATACTATATACTCCTCAGACATTGCAAGAATCCAAGCAATGAATTCTTCCCTGAAGGACTTGATCCTCTGGTGGTCAAGTGGACAGTCAAATAATAGGTAATTTTATAGTTGGATGGTGTACATAATAAACTAATTTGAATAACTAAGTAATTTTTTTTCTTTCTGAATATCTTATTATTCAACCAGAATAAGCTCCTTAAGGATAAGAATTCTGAGTTCTATTTGTCCTTAGCACCAAGTCCCTTTTTCATAATGTTTTGATTGACTTACTGCCCTAGGAGTCTCTTGCTTAATCCATGTAACTAAAATGAATGTGTAACAACCTACCTGGTACAGCCATTTTAATTAAGTCATCATCTCTGCATAATCAGCCAGTCCTACAGTAAGTACCTTGCAGACTGGTAGGCAAGAAATAAACCCTTCTGGAATTGAATCAATTTACTCTGATATGCGGTAGTTAGTTAAAGACAGCCACATGCTAGAGCAGAGCAGAAGAAAATGTAAATATGCAGGCGCTTCCTTGTGAGGCCCATCTGGGAAATCAAATTGGGGCGATTGCTATGACTGGCACCTCATTCTCAACCTTTATTTTCAATGCCAAACAGACCTTCTGGAATCAAGTGAAGTACAAAGGCAGAAACCAAACTTCAGTTTGATTATTGTGCTGAAAAACAAACTCTAGCTATGATTTATTACCTTTGAAAATGCAAGAATACCTAGGAAATGGTCATAATGACAGCAATAAGTAGTTTAAGAAAGGACATGGCTACAAAATACAGCCAGATAATCTTAAAACTGGAGATATTTATTTATGTAATAAAGCACCAAATGACATATTTTCTCAGTTATCATAACAAAATTATTCCAATTTATCCATGGTTCAATAGAATAAATAAATTTTTATTCATCACCTCCTTTAATCAAGTTTGGATTTTCACTGATGCTTTTATTTAAAAGTAGTGTATGCTCATTGTAGGAAAGAACTCAAAAGTACATAAAATAATATAGTTTCCTTCCATTTCCCTCCTCCCTTCTCTCTCTCTCAATAATCCTGCTAAGTATAATGACTACTAATAGTTCAGTTTGTCTCCTAGGCCTTTTTTCTGCTCAAACATATAGCTGTCCCCCCACCCCACCCCCCCCAAAAAAATAGGAATCGTACTCTATAGAGTTCTGCAGCTTAATTTTTTCCTTCCTGTTCAGTCAACTCACAGGTGTCCCCATTCTCTTTTAAAACTGCCTATTATTTAATAGTATTAATACACCATATCTGACAACTTCTCAATGGGGAACTATTAATGTTGTCTTCAATTTTCCATGCTTACTAACAATACTGCAGTAAATGCTACCAGTTTAACTTATTTTTTTTTTCCTTTTAACAGGACTATGGAAACTGAAGTCATTGCAGAGTTTGGATCTGTCATTCAATGGGATATTGCAGATTGGGCTGTCTGATTTTCATAACTGCCTGCAACTGGAGAACCTTTATTTAAAAAACAACAAAATATTTAAAATTCATCCAGAAGCTTTCAAGGACCTCAAAAAATTACAGGTTCTAAAATCATTTTTATAATACCTTAGATATTCAGACACATGGGCAATTGCATTGGAAGACTTTCCTTTGAAGAGTATTCTCATATCCTTTTTTACTGGCCATTAATCAAAACATGTAAGTCTATTTTAAAATCCCCTAAAAGAGCTGAAGTCCTTTCATTGCTTCAGAAATCAAAGGCCACATTAATGGACATGAACTTCACCCAAACAATACTCCACAGCAAAAACTGGCACATTATTTTCTAAATCAAATTAAATTGAACTCCAAGCTTCCACTTACCGTTTGGCAAGAAATTAAATCTGCTGTTTGTGAGGCTGCCTCCCTAAACTGCAATATGAGTCAAAGCCTTTGGTGTCTTACATGCAAACTGGAATGCTTGGGGAGACCCCTCTGAACCACTCTGGACAATGCTGAGTTGTCAACAATTCAGACTATCTGGGCCACTAAGAGCCTGTGACCCTTTTGCTTCTATGCCAAAATTGGGCTTGAGATAATAAAAATGGTGATGCTAGTGCATTTTGTACCACACCACCACAGGCGGCATACTGTTCTAAACATCAGACATGTACTGGGGGAACCTGTGTCACATTTTGGAGCTGTGCATTAAGCTTCCTGAAGTCCTCACATCTGTGAGAGTGAGGAACCCCAAGCCCTGTTCTTGGTTTGGCAGGCTTCAGCCCCTTTTCCTCCAAGCACTTTCCTCCATGCCCTTGTGCTTTGGAAAGACATTGTGAAATCTCCCCTCATTGGTCCTTTAGAAATACCAGAAGGGCCTCCAGAGTGGCACACAGAAATAACCTGGGAGAGTCTTCAGTTATAACCTCTACCACCCACCCCCATTCCTTCCATAGGCCAGTATTATTCACAAAAACAATGTGAGCCACACATACTATTTCAAATGTTCTAGTAGCTGCATTTAAAAAGTTAAAATAAGCAAGTGAATTTCATTTTAGTTATATGTATTATTTAACCCAGTATATTATCTTTTACACATGCAATCCATATAAAAATTCTTAGTGAGATATTTTACATTCCCTTTTTTATACCAAGTCTTCATACCTGGTGTGTTTTATATCCCAACATGGACTACCCACATGATAATTTCGTGATAGCTACATGAGGCTCATGGTGGTTATTATTAGGCAGCACAGACATAGATAACTGCCATTTTCCCAGTGTGATGGGAACTGCTATGGAAGCGTAGCCATGAAAAAAGGCCTCTGGCTCCCTAATCTCTCCACCATGGAAAGGAGACTGGGGAAGCAGTGGTGAGGTCAGGGAGAGGCATTCTAGAGCCAGCTGCATGGGGTTCAACCTAGACTCTGCTACTTTCCAGCCACACCATCTTGGTTATCAGATTTCTCATCTATAAAGTGGAGATGACTTGGTTCTTTCTCATAGAGTTTTGTTGAGAATTCAATGTTTTAATGCATACGAAATTCTTAGAACGGTGCTTAGGATTTGGTAAAACTCTTTGTTCATGTAGACTACATATAGAAATTTTAAAGTGGCCACAGTAGTCTGTTCTATTAATATACAAATCTGATCATGCCATTCATTGGTTAAAATTCTTCCAAATTTCTCAAGTAGGGTCCTGGCCCTGCCTGCTTCTCTAACCTCATTTGAAGCCACTCTCCCCTTGCACACTGGTCTCCTACCTGTTTTCACCGCAGGCCTCTCCCACTTGCTGATCTTTTACCTGGAAGAGCTAACTCATATTAATTCTTTCAACTTTAGGTTGAATGTCAACTCTTTAAGAAGGGCTCCAGATTAAGTCAGGCCCCCTTTTTTCCCCCACACTTTATAATTTGCTATGTTTAATGCTTATTGCACTTATCCCAACAGAAACCATTTAGTTTGGGGTGTGGTTAGTTGATAAAACCCATGCCCCCTCACCCTATTACCAGATGAACACTCTTTAAGTATATACATCATGTCTGTTTTGTTTTCCAGTGCTTAGCTAGGACATTTAAAAATATTTGTTGAATAAATAAATGAATGCATGAATAGATGATGATCATGGATAATTAGGAAATTATTGCTACATAACAATTTACTACATATTTAGCAGCTTAAAACCACGCACATATAATATCTCACAATTTCTGTGGATCAGGAATTCAGGGATGGCTTAGCTAGGACCTCTACTTGAGGGTATCTCAAGAGGCTGCAATCAAAGTCTTAGCACAGGTTAAGACTCACCTTAAAGAGTCTCACCTGAAAGAGTCTCACCTGAAAACCCAGCTGAAAAAGTATTCATTTCTCAACTCTGATGGTTATTGGCCAGACTCAATTTCTTGTTGGACTGTTGAGCTGACAGTTCTGCTCTTTACCAGCTGGTGACGAAAGCCTGCCCTCAGTCTCCTGCGTACGGCTCCAGCTCCTCCACAGGGCACTTTATGGCATGGCAGCTTGCTTCAGAGCAAGTATGATTTACATCATGTAATTACATAACTTAAATAATTTAAGTTCCATTTTATATAATGGAATCACCAAAGTGACATCCATTGCTTTTGCTGTAGGTTCTTGGCTGGAAACAAAGCATAGGTCCTGCCCACAGCTGAAGGGAGGAGATTGCTCTAGAGCCTAGGAGTCAGGATCACTGGGGACCATCTTACAATCTGTCTGCCGTGGAACTTATTAGAGAAGATGAGACAGTCCACTTCATTTGGCAGTGCACGTAGATTGACAAATTGCCTGGGAATCTCATTTAGTGCATTATATATGGATTATATTTGTATGTGTAATTTTCCCTATGTCTGTTTACTTCCTATGCATTTTTAGTGTACTTTATGAGTCTTCTGCAACTCACAGGTGATAGATGCGAAAGACAAGCTGTAATTCTCGATTCACCAGAACTGCCAAGAATCCTACGATTCCTCCTTCTCTATTACCCTTCCACATGCTTGGCAGTAACTTTAAAAACTGGAACATGATGAACATATTTGGTACCAAAAAAGCTGAATGTCACAATGGATGTTGTTTTTCTTCTGGGAGATGAATTTAATATTTGCACTATTCTGTATGTATTCCCATGTGGGAATCTTTTCAGAAGCTAGATGGATTTTTCAAAGCATAATTTCATCACCATGTTTAAATGCAATAAAATAAGTTCCATCGACATTTCAAATTAGCATTTCTTTTCTTAATCTTATCTCATTCTTCTTAGATGCAGTGATTTGGAAAACACTATTTATATGCTTCTCCAGTCTCTCTGTAATGTACAGCCCTTTCAAATGCTAGTGGATGGGTGTTTCTTTAGGCAAGTGTTACCATTCTGTTTTAATCTTTTCTCAGAAATTTTTTCCTCCTGAATCACTTTATTAATTTCCTTTCTTCCCTTCAGTTTTGCTTTCAGTTCCATGATTTGTAATATAAGATGCCAGGATGAAAACAAAATGCACTACAAAGTAAATAACTATCTGAAAAACATCAGAATATCTCACTCTGCTGTTGAGGAGGGCTACATAAGAAAATAACCCTCTGTCTTTTAAAAAAAAAAATGGGATATCCCAGTCTATTAAATAGTTATTTTATTTCTCAGAGAGTTATTTTCAAAATGCATTTGAAAGGGCTGTAGATTACAGAAAGACTAGGAGATGCATATAATATTGCTTCACAAATCACTGCATCTAAGAAGAATGAGGTAAGAAAGCTACTGATCCTAGGCAAGACAAGGCCAAAGCAAAGTGTTTTCTCCTTCCCAACCCCAGTCTTCTGCTTCCTATTTTTGGCAACCTTCCTTTGAAAGTTTGTTCTCAGAAAAAGTTCACCAGGAATTCTGATTCTATACATAGCGTTCTTGTTTGTAGCACTATTTAGTTGTTTGAATTAACTCTTCTTGGGAATTTATATAATCCAAGATGAAATGCTGATTTCCCCCCTGATGTTTATAAAAGCAGTTGGCCTTGATAACATTTAGCCTTTAGAGTTTTTATTCATGGGCCTCTTTTTTTAAAGCAAGGTTTGCATTTTCTGTTTATGATTTTCTCTTCTCCCACCTGTACCTGCCTAAACTTCACACACCCCCGCTCAGTGTCTCCTGCTCCAGGCCTCCTCCACTTTGTCCCTCTTTCTTTCTAGTGTGGTGAGTCTGGGAGGGTGTGTTCTTCAAAGGCTGTGAGGCGAAATCAAATTGCAACTCTGCCACTTCATTTATTCATTCTTTTTCATTCTTTACTGAGCACCTGCAATGTACCAGGCCCTTGTGTGAAGGTCTGTGTGGGGTGTACTGTGTGGTTCAGCCCAGTTTTTTCCTCTGTAAAAAAGGAGGAAAGTAAGGACATTATCAGAGTATTAGAGATAATGTTTGTGAAGAACCCAGCACAGTGCCAGATATTCAACAGTGCTCTGCAAACAGTAGCTGGAGCTGCACCTGACTGTCTTCCCCTGCTTTATCCTACCCCTGCAAGGTCTGATTGTTCTGGGTCTCTAAACCGTGGAGTCCTTTATTTTTCCCAGTCTCCCCACTGCATTTCTTATTAGACTAGACAAATTGTCATCTTGCAGGTTCTAAATATCCATAGATGCAAAGAACTGCAGTACTATCCTTGAGAAAATGTTTGATGTAAAAGATATATCTTTGTAACTTCTGGTCAACCAGATTTCTTCTGTGTTCATTGTCTTCATCATCTGGCATCTTCTTCTACTTTCAAGATCACAGTGTTTCTAGAAATTCTAAGCCTGTATCCATTTCTAGACCTTGATAGCACAAACGCTAAGTATATTTAACAGTATAAATTATAACTCATAGGATAAAAGAAAGAGAAAATGTTTGGCCATCTAATGCAGATACCATGCTTAAAGCTTTTACATACATTTACTCCTTACAACACCTCTGGAAAGTAGGTTTGCAAAAAGCAAATGGTTTGCTTAGACTTACAGAGTTTTAGGGGCAAAGCAGAAAATTAAACTCAGTACCTTCTGACTTTCAAATGAGTACTAAACTCATGTGCTTCCATAGAGATGTAAACAATATCTTTCTATAACATTTATTTTTATCTCTGAATATCTTTGTTCACAACTTTCTTAAATTTGTTTCTTCTCAAGCAGGTTGTAGACCTCAGCAACAATGCTCTGACCACTGTCCTACCAATGATGATCATTGCTCTAAAATTTCCCCATCTGGAGGTTGACTTGACAGATAATCAATGGCAGTGTGATGATAGAGTGACATTCTTCCAAAGTTTCATTTCTGAATCCTGGAGGAGAAAGTGGAATGTACTTTGCAATAAGTCTGTAGGTAAGTCAATCACACCTCTTTTCTCTGAAATGGTTCATATATGAAAAGTGCATATAAAAATGTAATGTCATTTGAAACAGTGACAATCCCTCTAAAAGCAAGATTGTTAAACCCCAGCATTAGTCAGCCTTGGACTGTGTCACAGCCTAATCATTGGTGCCTTACTATATCCTCAGTTTATGAATGATTTTCTTCATGTGGTCAAAAAAAAACTAGTTCAAATCACTCAGAATCAATTGGTTATAGTAAAAAAATAAATTTCAGTAGAAGAAAATTTTACCCTGAAGCCTCAAAACGTCAATTTTACCCTAATTCTCGAAAAAATTGATTAAAGAAATGACTTTTAAATTTTGAAACATGATTTTAAATGCTTGCTGAGACTCTGAAAATGTGATACTATACATTCACAAAAAGCACACATATTTCAAAAGTATATTTCTCTTTGATTTGTTCCTTGCCTTTTCCAAAATTCAGTTGGAATTAAACATTTTGGGAAGGTTTCCCCCTCCCCCATTATTAATTAGCTATCTTGAAAGAGAAAAAAATACTTGAAAACAGTCAGATTTTCTTAATAAAATGAGCCCTGGGTTCAATTCTGTTTAGGACTACCAATATGTAGAATCAGAGTCATACCTACCAGGTTCAGAAGAAATTCACAAGGAGCAGAGGGAGGTTAGAATGTTGTCCACCACACTTACATCATTCCTTTGTACAAACCAGTACTGGCATTCGGAATAGAGAAGACAGAGGCCAGGGACCAGAAGACAAAAATGAATGTATTTTTCTATTTACCAGAACTTAGGAATGGTGAGAAAAGAATACTGCAACCCTGGGAAGGAACAAGACAGATTTTGCTGGAGCTAATAGAATGTTCTGGCAAACATGAGGTAGCTGAGTGTATAGAGGGAGGAGGAGCGATATGGTTGTCCCTCCAGTCTGGCTTCTTCCTCCCATAGGCAGCAGGCAGGAAGCCTAAGAAACATGCAACCTTCTGGGGCCAGCAGCAGCTCTACTCCTGACAGCCATGCGCAACTGCACAGAACCATGTATACACTGTTGGCATTAGACAAGAATGAATGAATGAATGAATGAATGAATGAAGACTGCTTGTTACCATGTAATATACACTTGAAAATATAGTAAGATAAGGGCTGAGGAGGACTCACAGTTTTGATACAGCCTGGAACCTTATACTCAGATCCACTCAGTGTGTGGTTTTTGTCTCCCACTTACAGGGGATGAGAAGGCACATTTGGAGATTCCCCAAAGCAGAATTTCCAGGGAGATTCACCTTCCTCCCACTGATCTGAACCACATGAAAAGCCTCATAAGGAACAAAGCAGCGAGGCCCCAGGGAGGAGCGTCTGTGCGCTTTTCCACTCTGAGGAAGGAGGCCCACACTGGCTCTGATCTCAGGGAGATGCAAGAACAGCTGCCAAGAGTGGGCAGAAATGCCCGGGATGTTCACGCTGCTGGCAGAAAGGAGGATGCTTCCCAGGACCTCGTCCTGGCCATCTGCCTGTCTGTGTTCATCACGTTCTTTGTGGCTTTCTGCCTGGGGGCTTTTACAAGACCTTATGTTGACAGACTGTGGCAACAAAGATGCTGGCACAAAAGCCCCGGTTCAGATAATGCCTATTCAAATGAGGGCTTCTATGATGAAATTGAAGCTGCAGGGAGCACACAGCATCCAAGGACCGATCTGCACCAAGCTTTGCATGATCCAAAACTCTGTGAGAACCAGCACTCTTTTTTGGTGACAGAGCCAAGTCCATGTGCCACTGTCATTCCCAACAAAACTCTGGGAAGCAGCAGAAAGGAACCTGGCAGTCTGCAGAGCACAGAACAATGCAGGGCCAACACTGGGGCAGCAAGTAGAAATGATAACATGTTTCCAAACAGCAGTGCAACCCATTTCACTCTGTGCAGACATCCAAACGCTCATAATGATGAGCTAATTTCAGCAGCACAGGACCACATCTATAGGAATGATATTCTCAGGGAATTAAATTATGAAACTGTGGCCCAGGAATATTCTCCCAGTGAGCATTCAATGGGTGGCTCTGCCATAGCTGGCACATTAAGGACTTTCTCTGGCTCAACCCATAATCATTTGAATGAATTAGACCCATCACTCCCCAGAGAAGTGACAGCTTCTGAATCCAAAATGCTAACACATGCAAATGCACAGAGGACTGGAGAGAGTGAGGAAATCAAGGGCCCTGAACAGTCACCTTTGGAAACTATGGGTTTGCAAATAGAATTTTCTAAGGAAATGCAAGTGAGCAATTTCATCAGCTTGCTGAATGCGCAGCAGCCAGGGAGCCAGGGGGCCAAAGCTGAGGAAGAGCATCCAGAAATCTACAGTGCAAGCACTTGTATCCACCCAAGAGATGCAGACCCATCAGCCCTCATGCCAAGATGGGCTAGTGACCTCAGTGTCACTCCTGCTAATGAGAAGCCAGTGCCAAAAAGTGCACCCTTTGACACTCAGTATGACTTGGAGACTGACTACGATTCCGACGAAGGATCTTTGTTCACCCTCAGTTCAGAGGGTTCAGAGGTGACAAGGGACATGACTGAAGAAGAGCAGCATGGTGAGGAGAGCAGTGGGGCCACCAAGCCCCTGCAAGTTGAGAATCCAGGGATGCACAAGGACAGTGTTATGTCAGTAGAAAGTCTTCAGGACAACATCACCTTCCAGAAGATTCTGGGGAAATATGAAACTCAGGAAGATAATTTTGGAAAATCTCTCATTTCTGGATCAGACTCTGGTTTGCGCAAGACTTCTTTGGAAAGTGCCTCTAACATCAACATATCTGAGGATCCATTAACCTGGCCCAGATCCCTGGGTAACAGTCCTTCAAGTGATGAGATTCCAGACATGTCTGCTTATGATTATGACATAGCTCTGCAGGAGACACCAGAATGGCATTGCTCACTTAGAGACCTAGAATTTTCAAACGTGGACATTTTACCACAAACACCTCCACATTCTGCTGAAGATCCCTCAGATACTGTTGAGAGAGCCTGCCGTGAAAAAGACATAGACACTTGTAGATATGAGCCTTTCATTCAAGGAATAGAGACAGCTCAAAAAGACTTTGCTCTCAAGATTTCTACAGGGGAAAACTTAAAACTCTCACAACAAGATTCCCAAGGGGGAGACCAGGATTCCAACCAAATGGACACTGATGCAAATAAGGGGCTTTATGTCCACTTGAGGACATAAAATCCAGAAAACTCATAAGCTGAATGCAGGTGTTACAATCCTATGGTGATAAGCTGGCTCTTGAGTGTGAAACGGGAGAATATTTTGGAGACAGTTCCAAGAACTAAGCACTATCATTACAAGAGCTTCCAAATAAACCCAGTTCACTAAGAGCACAAGAGCACTGCAGTGATAGAGACCAGGGTAAATATTCAGAGGAGAATCCATAGGAAAAGATGATTATAAGGTCTGTGCTCAGACGCAGACCCAGAGCAACCTGATGGGAGTTGGCTGTGTATGTGAACAGCCCCATTGTGACAAAGACAAGGATGTTCAACTTGGTAATCACAGGGAATTCAAGTGACATTTTAGTCCACAGTGAAGCACTTACATGGAAATGTTGAAGAGATTTTTAATGAATTCTCCCCAGAGACTAGCACAGCTTTTTGAAGACTGATCATGAAACCATAAGATTGGAAGGGTTTAGAACAATTTAAATATTTTAATAAGTTACAGAGAAGAGAGACCATTTCATAGAACAAAATATTAATTAAAATTCAATTTTCAAGAGAAAAGGTAATATTTTCTATAAAAGAAAAAGGTCCACCACCATTGTCCTTGATGAGCCTTCTTGGTGTGACTCTCCAGCTTGGTCTCTCATGAGCTTCAGCTTCTCTGACATTTTCTCAGTTTCCTTCTTGACTCTCCTTCTTTGCTTGCCCCCTTAAAGGCAGTATTCCTCCAGGATTTTCCCCCAGTCTTTCCTTAGGACCCCTTTACCAGTACTGGGGAATGGTGAAGAAACAATACTATAAATCTGAGTTGGGCCAAGACAGGTTTTGCAAGGACTGATGAAAAGTTCTTGCAAATGTGGAACCTACTGCTTCACAATCAGCTTGATATAGATGATGCCAGATCTGCACAACAAGGCCCAGCCTCCCTGTTACACTCCATACTCACATCCTTAAACCCACTTGCTCAATCCATGTGAATTATCCAGCACCTAAAATTCATCCTTTTCCTTCACAAACATCACGTCCTATATTATCTTTCTTGATTAACAATAGCATGGCATCCTCCAAGTAAACCCTGTTAGTTACAACTTCTGACTCAGTTCTGACTCATTCTCTTTCATTTCTTACATCTGAGTAGCCTGTAAGCCAAGTGCATTGGAAGTTCCTGGATGGCTATAGGATAGGGAGATAGGTATGGCAACCTGGATGGAGGCTAGGCAATGTGTGCTAAATCAGGGTTTATGAAGAAGATGCAAATTGATAGAATGTGGGAAAGAACACTAAGAGTCCCTTAATCTACCTCATGGTAGAATCCTGTGGGATCCAGCTCCTCAATAACTCTTAAACTTGTCATGTCTACTCTCAGTCTCCAAATAAGGGGCATCCCTTGCCTATCACCTAGATTATTGTGATCTTTAGTACTTCTCTGTGCGCCACTCACCTCCTAACAGTCTTATATCCAGTTTACTACTCCCCTGCTCAAAAACCTCTGATGGATGCTGTTATCTTTATAAAAACCCAATTCCATAATACGGACACATTCCATCTTTCCAATTACCTCACTGTACATTCTATTCTTGTTTATATCATTTACGACAATTATTTATCTCAGCAAACTCCTGAGACCCTTACTGGATTCCCGACTAATTTCTTCCCCACTCATAATCACTGTTTTAAAACTTTGACTATCCTTGATGTTTCAATGAGAAAATTTAGAAATCTGGACTGTGAGGAAGAAATTTCTTTCTCTTACCCCATAGCTGTAAACATGTTTATATCCATATTTACCCTCATTATTTTTCTCCAGTCTAAGAAGAAATCAGTATTCTATGGTCAAGGATAATACCTCCAGACTGCTTTTGCTTCAGTCCTGGGTATAGATCCTTCATTCATCCCATTTCTGCACACCCAAGCTCTCCATATCTATTGGATGTTTCTTGGTGTTTCATGTTCAAGTCCTCTCAACATTAAAATTAAAAGAAAAGAACACCTAGCAGCTCCTCAAAATACTACCTTCTCTCTATCATAGCTAAGCTCCTCAAAGCAATGGTCAAAGGACGGTCCACTGACTTTTCAGCATGCTATGGTCAAGCTTCATCCTCCCTCTAACCTGTGCCATTAAAAGTCAAAAGCAACTTTCAACTGACACATGCAATGGACTCTTCACTCTTCATCAAGTAAAACCTCTGCAGCACTTGACCCTTGGCCACTCCCACCTGGAAACATTGTATTAGGCAACTTCCCACTGCTGTGACACAAGAACTGAGATAAATCAACTTAAAGGGGGAAATGTTTATTTTGGCTCGTGGTTTCAGAGGTTTCAGTCCAGTTTACTTTGGGGCCTACAATGAGGTGGAACATCAGAGCAGTGGGAGCATGTGGTGGAGGAGGCTGCCTCCCCTCATGGTGGCCAGGAATCAGATGAGAGCTAACTGTACAGCAAAGCCCTTTGACAAAACCCACGAACCTATGAATCCATTGTTGAGGTTGGAACCCTCATGACACAAATACCTCCCAAAGATCCCACCTCTGAACACTGCTGCACTGGAGACCAAGCCTTCCACACATAAGCTTTGGGGGAGAGATTTAGAATCCAAAATATAAGACTCTTTTTCTGTGCCTTCTGTGATATGGTTCAGTAAAGGTGAGGATCCCAGAAGGACAGAGATTGCAAGAAACAGGGATGACTGAAGACACATTCATGAAGAATCATTTGCAAAGATCCAGGCAGGGTTAAAGGAGACTAACAAGGGAAGGTGAAGGATGTGAGGACTAGCAAGAGGGGAGAGGCTTTACCAGCCTCAGGCCTGAAAGACTGGGGAGTTGCCAGGTTGCCTGACAGTCCAGCAGGAACAAGCCAGGGAACCCGGACCCTCAGCCTCTCCATCTTCCAGTCTCCTCACAGAACCTCCCAGTGCCTCCCAGTGCCCAACCTCCAGAAGCTAGAGGTCAAGAGAGCCAGTTAAGATGGCCCACAGTGGTCAGCCTTCCCAGCCACAGAGCAGGATGGAGAAGGGTAGAAAGTAGGTTTTGGAGAATATCCACCACACACTGGTTCTCAGATCTTTCTTTCTCAAGCTCCTTTTCCAGCTTCTCTTTCTATGCTCACCTTTTAAATATGCATTTTTTCTAGGCTTTGGGCCTTGACTATCCTGTCTTCTCACTTACCTCACTTTCCTTGTGAGAGCTGTCAATCCTTATGGCTTCAACTACCACTTAATGGCTAATATTTCCTATTTCTGTAACTCCAGCTTTGAAATCTTTCCAGAACTTTACACTCACATCCAGTTGTCTGTTGGACATCTGCAGAGGCACTTCAAGCTAAGCATATCTAAAAGGAAACCCAGTATCTCCCCCTAATCCTCTACCCATCAAATCTGTTACAGACAAGCCCGCCCACCTGCATCACTTAACCCTGCCTGGGCCCTCGATGCTGCCTACTTTTTTAGGTTGCACATCTGATGCCACCACAATGCAATGGCAAGCTTCTTCTCTTTATTCAAGGCTTTATTTAAGTGTCACCTCCTCCAAAGCCTTTCTCACTTCCTTCCAACCCACGTAGAACTAGCTCTCCCTCGCTCCCTTAGGCCTCCACTGCACTGTTCTGCACTGTAGAAGAAATGAGGTTTCACATAGCTTGATAGAGACCTACTGGACTCTTCCGTTGACAAAATTCCAACTATGTAGTGATTTTCAGTCCCACCATGCAGTCTGTGAAGATAAAGGTTATCTCAGTGCTGGCAGGTATTTCATAAAGTAAAAAAAATAAATAAAATTTTAAAAAAATTATATTTCAGAAACAGAGAAAAAAAAAGTATGCACAGCTTTGAATATTTTTGTTTGCTTACTTATTTTTGTTCAGACTTCCCAAAAGAGTTCTGGTAGTGTGGCATAAACATCACAAGCTTTTTAGTTAAACAGCTCTATTTCTGAGCAAGCCCCTTGTTTTCTGTAAAAAATAAAACTTTTGGGCTGGGATTGTGGCTCAGCAGTAGAGCGCTCGCCTAGCATGAGCGGGGCCTGGGTTCAATCCCCAGCACCACATAAAAAAATAAAGGCATTGTGTTGTCCATCTACACCTAAAAATAAATGTTAAAAAAGGAATTTTTTAAAAAAAAATAATTCTCTTTTTTGTACCAGGGATTGAACCCAGAGGTGCATTACCATTGACCCACATCCCCAGCCCTTTTTTACATTTTATTTAGAGACAGAGTCTGAGTTCCTTAGGGCCTCACTAAGTTGCTGATGCTGGCCTTGAACTTTCAATCCTCCTGCCTCAGCCTCCCAAGTCACTGGGATTACAGTCATGTGCCACCCCGCCCCCATAAAAATAATTTTTAAACTTCTCTCTCAGCTTAGCTTGATATAAGATTTGAGGCCTGCCCTGTATCAGATTTCCAAAATTGCTAGGGATCTACCACAAAATAGCCTCAAACTTTAAGCTGCCCAAGTTATACTGAGTCCCTATTTCCCAGTTTTCCCTTTGTTTTAGTTTCTCTTATTCTAATTATGTTTCTAGTTCTGGTCTTACTTAAGTGACTTTAAATCACATCTTACTGTTTATTTCAATAACCCTCTTTGCATTTCTTTGGCAGAGTAACTCTTAAATTTTCATCAGCCTAACAATTCCTTATCATGATATTATAGCCTAAAAAACATTTTTTAAATCTCTGATATAATTTATCTTCATGTGTTTCTAAAGACATTAAATAAATATTCGATCAATACTTACCTAACCCAAAGCATGAAATTTTAATCCTCTCCTTGAAGAGCAGCAGGTACTATAAATGATTTGTCATTATTTCATGCTGCATCCTAAAAATCCTTCAGGTTCAATAAGGTCATGTTGGGATCAGAAGGACAGAACTTTCCTCCCCATCCAAGGTGTGAGGCTGGTCTTTTGTCTCTCCTGAAGAAAGTTTTGTCCAGTTCTTTTCCAGGACCACACAGGGCAAAAGGGAGAATCAAGAGAGTAACCAGGAGTACACAGGAATAATTCTTAGAACTACCAGCAGAAAATAAATGCAGTCAAGCGGATGTCCACTTGCTTACAATCTATTTGAAATATGAAAGCCACTCTCTCAAGGCTGCAACTTTTGTTTGAAGTACTTTGAGACCCAAGGGAAATGGAGATAGGAGGGACAGAAGCAATTCTTCCTATGGGTGCCAAGTTTTGATGAGGTCAGTAGTGCTTTACACTAGATTAATCAGCCATCAAAAAGACATGAGTGGCAAGCTGCAGGCTTACTGCAGGAGGTCTGGTCAGCCTGCCCACTGATTCAAGGGGAGAGAGGCCCATCTTTTTGCTGCCTGAATATATCATATCTTTTGCACTTGAAGCAAGACTGTCTAACTCTCTGAATCTAGTTTCTGCACAAATGTATCCAGTTCACTTTTTTCAAACTCCCAACTTAATATTTCATTAAACTCTAGGAGACATGGGCAATTGTGTGACTAAATTCTCAGACTCTCTCCATAATTTGGTATTTAATGAATGTAACTCTGAAACTACAGAGAAGGTAAGGACATTCCAAACCTCGGCATGAAATTTTTTCAGTCTTTGGTTGACATATATTTCATCTGCCTCTGTGTGTGTGTGTGTGTGTGTGCATGCGTGCATGTGCATGTACTTCTGAAGCTATTCATAGAATTATACAGGAATAACATCTTTGCTCATTTGAATATATACAACTCACACTTGCTATTTGAAAAGAAAATTCTCATTATTTTTCTTTGGCTCTCATTACCGATTCTGGCTTTTCACAACTGAACGTAATTTAAGTTAGCCATAATTTTTTATTTTACTTCTTGATGGCCAAATTATCACAGCTGGACCAATGGGATCCCCTCTCAGCTATATTCTGTGTGTTTATCCAGAATTTCTAAATTACCATTGCTTTTTGTCAATAAATGTTCCAAGACGGTCTATATTATTATCCCATGATTGGAAATGAAATTATACCCAAGGACCCTGCTTTCTTTTAGTGGAAAATAAATTGCTCAGATTTTTGTTTATTTGTTTGTTTGCTATGATGTGAAATTTGTATTAATAATGGGAAAAAGCCTCACACTTCATACACCTCATTCTACAAATCCCACACCAAAAGCCAAGGAGCTTGTGGGGCAAATAAAGCTGGGGAGACTACAGAGAAGGTAAGTAATCTCATAATCAGAGTACTAAGGAAAAGTCACTGGTATCTTTGAAGTCACCTTGATTGACACAGGCAGGCAGGTAGGCATGGCTAGAGGCTGTAATAGTAGAGATTAAAAATTCACATAAACCAACCAGGCACACTGGCACACACCTGTAATCCTAGCTACTCAGGAAGCTGAGACAGGAGGCTCCCAAGCTCAAAGCCAAACTGGACAGCTTATTGAGACCCTATCTCAAAAAAAAAAAAAAAAAAAAAAGAGAAAGAAAGAAAAATGGACTAGGGATGTAGCTCAGTGGTAGAGCACTTGCGTAGCATGCACAAGGCCCTGGGTTCCATCCCCAGTACCAAAAACAAAAGAATTATATAAACCACTTAGTGGAAATGCTGGCCCCAGTACAATTAGGGCAGCTAACTATAGTTAGGCCAGCTGTGGGGTGCTGGGACAGTGCATACTGAAGGTGATCTAAGCAGAGACTCCCTAGGCACAGGCCCCAAATGTAGTCTAGGCTGGAACACAATGTTATGGGGCTGCCCAGGAAGCCTGTGCAGGTATTCATTTTAATTTTCACCTATCATATCCCAATATCCCATGTATAGGCCACCTATAAAAACTTCATATTCAACTTCATGTTTAAGTTTTTATGGGTGTCCTGTACAAGGGACATCAGGACATAGGGGTTCAAACACAACTCAAGGAATCTTGCTCCCCAGACAGCAGCCGAGTTATGGAATTTTTCCCTTCCTGCTGAAGAGTATTAGTCTGCTACAGCTCTTCTAGCTCCCCTTGCCTAGGAGAAATCTGCTATGATCCAACTTGACTTCTAAGTTAGACTGACATCATTTTATAATGGGTAAGACCTGATGGATGTTATAAACGTGCTTTCTGAAACCGTCAATTTCTTCCCTCCCTGTGCATATGAGATACACCAAGAAGTAGAAGTTGTTCTTCTACCTTGAACCTGAGCTTATCTGTGCCTGCTTTACCCAATACAGAATAGTGGAAGTGATACCACAGCACTTCTGAGTTTTTCATAAGAAGCTTTGTAGCCTCTGCCTGGGTTGCTCACTCTGGGTGAAGCCAGCCACCTTGTAAGAAGTCCAGTTACCCTAAGACCACCATAATATAAGGAAGCCCACGTTGGCCAAGTGAAAAAGCCACATGGAAAGAGAGATGCCCAACTACCTCCCAGTGGTTCCAGACACCCTTGCC